GATTCTTTTATTGTTCTCTTGCTTTCTAGTTCAACAGATTTACATAGTTTCATCTTCTACTTATCATCCTCAGAGCTAGAATTTGCTGTTTCTTCAAAGGACCCTGAATTGTAATTAGAAATTAAGATCTCTGGGCCCTCTCTGGCAATGTAACAGGTTAAAGTGTGGCATCCTCTTCAGCATGAGTTTGATCCCCACCTAGGGAGGTGACCTACATGGCACACAGACCTCTTCTGTCTCACCTGCTGTTCCCCTCAGCAGTGTATTTCAATCTGTCCGTCTGTTCTGCTTCTCACAGTCTCTGGTAAACACTCTCACTGCCCACGCACCTCTGGCTTTTACCCAGTTCTGTATGCATAAATAAAAAAAAAATTAAAATCTCTGTACTGGGATTACCTCTTGCTCTCTTAGTGTCACCAGTTAATGTCGATATAGTTCAAGTTCAGATTTCACATTTTTTTTCCTGTTTTGAGTTTATAGCTTATCTTGAAAACCTCCACTCATAAATGAAAATAACTCATTTAAAGTTTTGAGTTTTTTCAAGCCCACAGAAAAATTGGGGGAGAAATTCTATATATGATAGAATGACTGTCATAAATATTCTTCCCTGGGTGTCACCCTCTGCTAACATTGTGTAAATATTGCTTCTGATCTTAAGATGACTGAATTATGGTATGCAGTCAGTTAGGTATTCGTAAGGTGAGAGTAAGTGAGCCTGGTGTGAGAAGCTAAGTAGTGTGGCTATCTGGGCTGTGGTGTGTGTGTTCTAAGCGTGCAGAACTCTACTTAAACCTTTCTTTCTTTGTCTCAGGTGAATTGAGTTCTGTATACAGCAAAAGGTGCCAAATGAATAGTAACTTGTGATTCTTCACATAAAGCCAGTTATCTCCAGGATCTTTTATTTTGTCTTAGAATTAAACAAATTAAGATTGTCTTTTATTTTCAGAGCTTCAGTGAAGATGTGTTCCAGTCTGTAAAGTCTTTATTACAGAGTGAGAAGGAACTATGCAGTGTTTCAGCAGAGGACTGTATAAAGCGGGAGGATCATACCAATTTGACTGAGGTTTGACATATTACCTCCTATGTGTTTTCTGAATAATGCACAGTGTATTTTCTATTTTTAAGATGGTTATGATCTTTCTGTATTAAAATGTGTGAGAAACACCTGTTTTAAACACCAGCTAATATAAGTGTTTGAAGGGCTTATAATGAGCACATTTAATTCAGCACATAGACAGTATTGGCCGACTTAATACAGCTCTATATTAAGTGGTTCCTACTCTGTGAGTGATTGGTATTTTAATACTAAAATTTCTACTCTGAAATATAAAATACACTCTTACTTATTTTACTCACTTTTTGGATAATTGTTAACTTCCTTGATTATTTAAATGAAAAATAATCAAAATGAAAAAGTGATATATTTTGAAATTAAGATAATTGCTCCTTGAGAATGAGATTTTTTTATTTGCTTATCTATTTCTCTGTTACATCAGTGTTTCCAGTTTTGTTTGAATTTATTATATAAAGGAAATAGATTATTTTTCTGCATTAAAGTCATAGTTCATCAACACATTCATATTACCAAATAAAGAGAGATGGAGTGCTAAATTGTCAATGTTTATAGTGGATAAATACAGTTAACAGTTTTTGAAATGAGGGTTCTAATAAAAAATTAAAAAAAAAACCTCGATTGTTCTTCTTTTGGGGGATGATTTTCTTTCATGTTCCTTGCAAAACTGTGTTTGATGTAGTTCCATAGCATGATGGCATACCTTTTGTGCCTGTAGTGCCCTCTGACTTGAGCCTCCTCTTATTATTTGTTTTTACATTTTAAAAGGACAGTTTTATTAGGAAAAGGAGGAAGAAAAGAGAGGCTTCTGTAGACTAGGTGGGCAAAGTTGCTGCTCCTTGAGACTCTACTCTTTGAGTCAGCTCAGTTTCTATTTATCCATTTTTACTTAACTTAATGAAGCTGAGCCACTGTTAATCTGGCAGGTCTTTTGTGTCTTACTGCCCTCAGTTTCCCAGCCCATACCTCTCCATTTCTTACATCATGCTTTTGGAGCCATTAGGCCTTAGGGAGGCCTTCTCTCAAAAGTTGAAATATAAAACTATATTGGCATCTCTAGAACCCTGTCTCAATTTGTTTTCTCTTACATGTTCAGAAAAAGGAAACTTAAAATAACAGAAGGAATCCCTGCCTCTCCTTAGGGTGTACATATCTCAAATGTTTTCCTGAAGAAAAGGAGAGAAGTTTGTTTTTTTGAGTGTCTGATACACTAGGTACTTTGCACTGTGTGGTTACTTCTCACCGCTGTAGAAGAGGAGTTGCAGTCCTTTAAGTTCTGTAGATGAGGAGACAGGTTCCTAGATGTTAGTGACTTACCTAGGCACTAGATGTTAAGGGTTACACTTTTGTGAATTGATAACCATAGTTATCAAAATAAAGAATCTAAGGTAATTTAGAATTCACTTGTTTCTGACTCAGAAAGAGATTAAAAGCTTATAGAATGTTGCGTTATAGTTTTCCTTTAGTTATTTAATTCTAGAGAATTGTTTATGTAGATATTTTTTTCACATTTTTTTTAGTCACAGCGATTGCTTTGTAGACAGTTTATTCTATTTTCAGATGGAAAAAAATTTCTTCTGTTATGTCAAAGGCAAAGGGAATGTACTTTTTCCAACATATAAAAATAGTACATGTCTTTGTAGAAAAATAGATACTGGAAAGCATAAAAGAGAAAGTAACTTATTAATCCTATGAATTAGTTTAAAAAAAACATTTGGGGGGAAGTCGAAAAAGATCAGATCACTTGTAATTTCTATATCCAGAGTTAATCAATGCTTATAATTTGTTTTATTGCCTTATTATTCTCCAGTATTATTTTCCATACCTATTTTTTAAATTATTTTTTCAATATAGTAGTTTATTTTTACATCATTTTGTGCCTTTTTCTATCTCAGTTGCAATTCCCATGGGCTTTCCATCACCATAATCTTTTTTTTTTTGTTTTGTTTTGTTTTTTTTTTTTCCATCACCATAATCTTAATCGTGTGCACTCCCTCCCCTCCATTTTTTTTTTTTAAGGATTTATTTATTTATGCATACAGAACTGGGGTACAGACCAAAGGTGCAGGGACAGTAAGAGGATTCACCAGAGACAGAGTGGGGAGCAGAGCAGGCTAACTGACAAAGTACACTGCTGAGGGAAGCAGTAGGCGGATCAGGAGAGGTCTGCCGTGTCAGGTGGGTCACCACCGGGGTGGGGATCGAACTCATGCTGAAGAGGCTTTAGCTTCTTAGTGCTGTGATTTAACTGCTGCACCACCAGGGAGAGCCAATCCCCCACTCCATTTTTATCCTCTTTCCCGCTCCACCCCCATAAAATGTCTCTAGTATATAGTTGTTCATTATTATTTCTTTCCCCTGGTCCTTTATGCTCCTGCTATGAGTGAAGCCAACAGGTTTTTTCTTTTTCTTTCTGGCTTATTTCACTAAGCACGATGGCTTCTAACTCATACCTATGTTTTTTAAATAAAGTTGAAATTGTGTATATACACTGTTATTTTTCTGTGATTTATCCCTTTTACTTAATAATATATTTCCTCATGCTAGTAGGAAGTCCTTAGAAATTTATGTAAGCTTATATAAAGTAGTCTCTATATAAAGATGTTGAAGGAAATAAGTGATGTTATCACAGAGAATAAGCATGGAGGTGACTTTGAGGGTTTAACCAGAGGTTGCCACGCTGTAGGAGGTGACGAATTTAAGTTGGAACTTACTTGAAGGACTAGGAGCTAGGCATGTGAATAAACAGGGAATAGGGATCCGTGTTGAGGATTTTTGATATTATAAAGCCCTTCCCTTTGGGAAGAACATACTGGACATGTTCTAGACACAGCAAAGAGGACTTCTGTAAATGAAAGTAAGGAAAGGTTGAAGGCACCATCTTGAATCTCAGTTAAGACTTTAAATGGAAAGCTTGCAAAAGTTCTAACAGGGAAATGGCATGGTAATTAACTGGGGCCAGATGGGAGAGGATTGAAGTAGTGCAGGTGAGAAGTGTTGGCACTGGCAAAGGGGCAAAGTGACATATGAGAGATAAGTGTTGGGAGCAGAGTTGATTAAGCCTGCTTGTGAAGGGGTAATGAGAGAGGTGGGAGAACTTACAGAACCAGCCTTTGGTGAAAAACCTTACTGCTCATCTTTGATGTGATTAATTGTCCTGTTCAAGACAGCTAGCACTTTAAGGCTATATGTGCTTTTTTGTGTTTCTCAGGGCTGTCAACAGTCTTAATTGAGGCAAAATTTAAAAACGCAAATTAATGGAGTTTTCTTTTTTATTCAGGTCACTTTTCTAGGTTTTAATGAAGAAACAGATGCTGCTCATATACAGGTATGGTTGATGTTAAAGATTGCTTAGAACAAATTTTGAGACCTTGAAACATTTGCCTTATTAACCTAAATTTTATATATTGAACTCTTCTGATACTATTCCCCTTTGATTAAAAGGTGACACTTTGAGAGCAACTTGTGAGTGTGCTTTGGGCATTTTCACTTTTACAGTTTTCAGTGAGTTTTATTTCAGAAAGCGATTTTAGTTCAGGAGACCACAAAGTCACTTCTCTGAGACAGTTGCAAACCACATGCTAACCTTTTCTCCATTTTGTGCAAAATGTAGACTATGAGACTTTGTTTTTTTATTTTGATAATCTGACTTTAACTGCCATATTCTTAGGATTTCAAGCAAGATACAGTTCATTAAATAAATAAAATTGTATAAAGCAATGATTGTAAAATATCCTGTTCCATTTAGGTAGGTATTGACATAGTGACTGTGATATGAGATTAAGATCAGCAAAGGGAAGTTTCACAGTTAGGTAAACCATAGTTGAAGCCCTTGTAGGTGTGATTGTCATGCTTTTTTAAACCTCATGCTGTGTCTTAACAATTTGTCAGTATTGTTTCCCTTCCTAGCATTTGACTTGTTATAGAAGAGATAACACTATTTGATTCTTTGGTTATTCATTAATGATAGTGAATAAAACCTATGAGATTGTTAACTGTGCCCTTTACTGAAGGAAGTAGTTGAAACAGAAGGCTGAGGACATACTGTAGGAGTATGTATATCTTTAAGACTGAGAAGTGTTCTCAAGTATTTTCTCTCATACTCTGTTTCCTCTTCAAGTGTTTATAAGCTATGTTATAAAAGAAAGGATATCAATAGTTCTTTGTGCAAAATATTTACATAAAAAGGGCAAATGGAAGAAAAAAGTTATTTTGCTTTTCCCTTACATCTTCATAAGGTTTTCAATTAAAGTCTAATAGAGGAGAGGAAAGGGAGAGAAAATACTTGCGTTTTACAAGTATAAAACTTCAGCTCCAAAGATGTATATTTTGTAGTCAGTAATTCCATATAAAAAGGGCCATAGTTAAACCAGTGAATACATACTGACATTGACACCTAAAAATTACCAAATGCTTAATAGTACTGGGTATGTGGAGAAACATGTAAAGTTTTTTTTTTAATAGGTTGATATCAGTATGTTTAAAGACTACAGAAATCACTGCTGTTAAAATATTTTAGTTTTGAATTTTTTAAAAAATTGGGAATGATAAGCCATATACACATACACACATATACACACGCACATGTCTTATCATCCCCAATTTATGAATTCACATACACACACACACACACACACATACTAGTTGTAACACACAGGCAAATATTATTACCTGGAATTTTTTTAAACTATCAGACCTTAAGATTTTTGGATAGGATATACAGAGGGACCTTAAAAAGTGTCAACTATTTAACACTTTTTTTTAATAGTTATTTTTTGTCTTTCATTTTAAATTAGGATTTATCTGCAGTTTCTTTGGAACTTCCAGCTCTTCTGAATTCACTGCACTTCTGTAGTCTAAATGAAAATGAAATTATTTGTATGAAGGATATAAGTAAATCAGATATAAGCAGTGATCATCTAAGCCAGGTAATTTTTATTTGTCATTTCTAGTGAATTTTTCAGTACTGATTGTATAGTGACATTTGTTCAAGAATATTAGACTTGCAAAGGTTTAGATGAATTTTTTTTAAAAATTTATTTATTTATTCATATAGAACTGGGGTACAGGCCAGAGGTACAGGAATGGTGAGAGGATCTACCAGAGACAGAGTGGGGAGCAGAACAGGCAGATCGATGAAGTACACTGCTGAGGGAAGCAGCAGGCAGGTCAGGAGAGGTCTGCTGTGCCTTGTGGATCATCTCCAGGGCTGGGGATCGAACTCTCACTGAAGCAACTGCAGCTGGGTTGCAGTGCTGTGCTTTAAACCATTCCACCACCAAGGAGGGTCTGAAATTTTTTTTTAATGCTGTATCAAGGATATATGATTTATAAAATGTTGTAACTCATTGAAACTCTGAAATCACAGAAGGGTAGAATAATTTTGGTGAGAGCTTAAATTAGATTTTTCATGTGTGAAATTCCATAAGTGGAATGCAAGTACATCCTCATCTTTTTTTTTTTTTAATTCATTATTTCTGGAATTTTGTATAACTATAGGATTCCCCCCCCCCTTTTTATGAACAATTTCCAGTCTATATAAACACTGTGCTACGTATATTAGAATACATACTTTAACTAATTTTCTGATTAAAAATATTTCATGGAGACACCCTGAATATGTTCTTTATTTATAAACAAAAATGATACTGTTTCTCACAGGTAGATAGTTTTCAGCTTTTAGTTCTTCACTATGCATTATTTTGTTGATACTGCATTAAAATTGCTTTGCATTTTTTATCTCCTAGGAATGGAATTAGTTGGTTTAAAATTTGTATTATTTAGTATAAGTATAAAAGACTGTTCATTATTTGAACTGTAGCTAAAAGTACAACTGCTACACTCATTTCCTTAGTTATATTCTTCATTTATATTCACTTTGTTGTATTTGCTAGGCTACAAGAGGGAATTTGCTATTTAGTTTCTAGTTTTTGAATACATCAGTATTGGCATTTTAAAAGATATGTATGGGAAACATGTGGCAACATGTTTAGCAAAAGTGTAAATATTATTTTAAGTGATATGTACAACTGTATGATAAGGGAGAATTTAGGTAAAGTAGGGGATAATTCTTTTTTAATGGAAGAGAAGATGGCATCATACTGAAAGCTATGAGAAAATATAATAGAAAAAAAATTGAATAAGAACCTAGTTCATGTCCTCAAGCTGTTTATAGTGTAGTTGGTGAGCTCGTCAAATGATTAAATGGGAAAATTCACAGGGCTATAAAATAATACAAGAAATATTAATTGCAAGAAAAATGGAGAACAAGTTCTGTAATATTTAAGGAGATAGTATAGGTAGAATTTGAATACTTAGATAAGAGAAACATAGGAAAGAAAAGAGACTAGAAGAAATGGTGAAGAGAAAAAAATGAAATAAACCCTACATATTATAAAACCAGAAGCTGCTTTCAGGATGCATGTACTTTTTTTCTTCTTGAGATTGCTTTATTGTTAAGCTTCATTTCTAGATTCTACGATTTGTATGTGTAATATTTAGAAATTAACTGATTTTTGTTATCTTTCCCAAGAAACATCATTCTGGAATGCTTTGTGTCATGAGAGTGTCACCTACATTACCAAGACTCAGAGTGGATTTTATTTTTAGTCTCCTAAGTAAATATGCTACTGGTATCAGATATACACTGGACTCACATTTGCATCAGAAGAACCAACTTGAGACCGCTAATGAAGAAGATGACGATACCAACCAGTCTGTGTCTTCCATAGAGGATGACTTTGTCACTGCTTTTGAGCAGTTAGAGGAAGAAGAAGCTTCAAAGCCATATAACGAGGGTTCGTCTTTTCCTGGATTTTTTCTTATGGGATTAAAGGTTAAAGTTCATTTTCACACTAGGGAGGTGGAGTAGTCCAATTAATATTTGAAATTTAATCGAATTTGAACATGTGATTTTGTAGTTCACGGTAACTTGGTTTTTAGCCTTGCTATTTCTGTTCCAACGTAGGTAGAACTGTTCAAGCACTCTTTATCTCGCTCCTGAAGTGTCTCAAACCTATGTTTTGGTTCCATTTGCAGAAGTTAGCTGGCAGTCACATTTTGGTGTTTCTAATACATGTGGCAGCTTGTGTTTACTCCAAATATGGAGTAAAATGAAGTAATTTAAGTAAAAATCTTAAGACTTGGGATGAATCTGCTAACAATGTTTAGAAAACACTTATGTTACAACTAAACTCTTCATCCAAAATGTCAGCTTGTTCCCGTTGATGTAAATTACTTTTTAAAAGATTCTGTTAAAGAGTAAAGCACTTCTTTTATTCTTTTCCTGTAGGAGTAAGTATTACTGCACCAAGGCTCCAGTGTGATGCTGCCTCACAGACTACTTCTGGTCACCCTTTAGGAACCCGTGATCTAAGGATTCTGGTTAGCTCTGGTCAGCAGAAGTCATTGCCCAAACCCTCGACATCCTTAATAAATATTCTGGGACACAAAGAGCTACCTTCTGTGAAAACTTCAGTCACAACATCAGTTTCTGAGCCTTGGATACAAAGGAGTTTCTATAGGTCATCTAATGCTTTAGATAAAGGGGGTGATACACAGAAAGCATTCCTTTCTTCTTCTCCTGCTTACTCATCTGAATCAGAATGTTCAAGTCCAAGTCCTGTTATTTTCTTGGATGAAGAGGGGTATCAAAAAAGTTTAAAAGCAAAGCTTGAGCTACCTAAAATTCCTGTGATGAAAGATGATATAGAAGATTCAGACTCAGAAGTCAGTGAATTTTTTGATAGTTTTGATCAGTTTGATGAATTAGAACAAACTGTAGAAACATCTTGTCCATTTCCAGAAGATCCTGTCATGGGGAAACCATCACAAAAGAAAGGACACAAACATGAAAAATCTTGTTCTGTAACCACCACTATGAATCCTCAGAAATTTAAGTTTGATCGTCCAGCTCTCCCAGCTAATGTTAGGAAGCCAACTCCTCGTAAACCAGAGTCCCCTTACAGTAACCTGTGTGAGGCTCCAGATTCTCCCCGCCCGGTGAAGGCGTCAGGAGAAGACAGTGGTTTGTTTAGCCCTATCCGATCCTCTGCTTTTAGTCCTCTTGCAGGCTGCACTCCTGCTGACTGCTTTTGCCAAACAGATATTGGAGGAGATAGAATTCATGAAAATCATGATTCTCTTTATTACACCTATGAAGATTATGCAGATCTCCTTTCATGTGAAGTGCTGGGCTCGGTTCTTCATACCCAGCATACTGATGTACTAGTGAGTGCTAGTAGTATTAAAAAAGAAGAAAATAAAACTGTAGCTCTTAAATGTGGAAACATTGATCCAAAAAGTAAATCTAAATATAAATCCTTAATGATTAAAGATAGCATACAGAAATTTGCAGCAGAACTTGTGGAAAAAAGTTTTGGTAGTGCATTCAAAGACTTACAGAAAGGGGTCTCTTCTTGTACCAATGTATTGTGCCACTTAGCCATCAAATTGACATCATCTGTTCTGCAGATGGCATTTAATGAATTGAGACGACAGCGTGCATTTTCCCTGAAAGAACGTGCCATTAATGGTCTGGCTAATTTTTTGGTGAGTGAAGCTCTGTCCAATGCTTTAAAAGATCTACAGTATGTAAAGAAGCAGATATTTACCAATACAGTGGCTGGGTTTGCTGCAGATCTTGCTGAAGAGCTTGTTTTTGAAGGTATCATGGAAGTGTGTCAGTTCTCATATCCTCCCACACCTGCGTCTTCACAGTGTCCGTCATTTGACTATGAAGACAAAGTCGTAAAATCATATGCAAAAGATTTGTCTGAATCTGTAATGCAGGAAGCATTCATCGAGCTGTCACAAGCGGATGTGTCCTTCACAACAGAGGCTGCAGTTAGTGTTTCTACAGATAACATAAATTGCATGAGTGCAGAAAATGTAGTGCCATTGACACAGAGCTTCACGTTTTCCCCTGCTTTCAACAACCAGACAATTATGTTGACAAAACCAACGCAAGAATGTAAGAAAGAATACACAGTGCAACAAGCTTTGTTTTGTACTTCGGGAATTGTTACTTCCATACCCGTGCCCTTGGCAGGAAGTGCCCTTCTTCCATGTCATATTTCGTCCAATATACATCAGGCAAAGTCTCATCTGTCACCTGAGGATAGTAGTTCAAATAGTGATTCCATCCAAGAATCACTTATTACTGCAAAAAACAAAGAAGTAGCTTGTCTTAGAAATATTTGTTTGCCTTCAGAACACAGTCCAGGTAACCAAAATGATTTTAAACCAGCTAATGGTGGTGTTGACATGGAAAGTTCTTCAAAATTAACAAATGATCCTGTGATTATTAGCAATTTTTCTGCAGCAATGGTGCATGCAATCGTAAATGAAACTTTAGAGCCACTGACATCATTCAAAGTAACAGAACCAGTTGATGAACACAAGGATTGTTCAGTTAAATTAGTAAATAGAAACAATTCCCCTCCTCACTTTGATCAAGGGACACTGCAAAAGAGTGAAGGTAGCAATAAGGATGTGTTTGCTGATCAGTTATCCAAATCTATTATTAAACATTCCATAGATAAAAGCAAATCAGTGAATTCAAATGTAGATAAAAATGGCCTATACAAGGAAGGCTTACCTGTTCCTGGAGAGGAGTCACAACTTGCATTGGAAAAATTCCCCAAATTTCTTGATGCTCAAGATCACTTAATGCACTCTTCACTTTCAGTAGGAAAGAACTGTGTGCCAGAATGTAAAGGTTCTGTGACTCATGGATTTTCTTTAGAGACAGGTCCAGTTATGGTAGGTCATGATTTGAAGGAACTTGCAAAGAAAAAATCAGTGAAAAAACCTAATTTAAGTAATACAGCACTAGAGTCACTGTCCTTGGGGCAGGAAAACCCCTTTCCTGCTTCACATACATTCTCATCTACAGTGCTTACATGTGTAGATGGTTTGCATGTAGAAGACAAGCAGAAGATCAGAGATGGAAATGTAATACCTGAAACTCCTCCATCAACTCCTCTTGTACCATCCCAGGTAAATTCTGAATGGGATATCAAGAAGTTAACTAAACAGCTCAAGGGGGAATTAGCCAAAGAATTTGCACCTGCTACACCACCTTCTACACCTCACAACTCGTCTGTTGGTAGTTTGTCTGAAAATGAACAAAATACTATAGAGAAAGAAGAGTTCATGTTGAAACTGATGCGATCCCTTTCAGAAGAAGTTGAAAGTAGTGACAATGAAGAACGTCCAGAAGTGGATGTGAAGGCCCAGTACTTAGGGAAGAAAGTTCAATTTGCAGATGCCTTAGCTACACACATCATTTCTCTTGCAACTGAAATGGCAGCTTCCCATTTAGATAATAAAATAACCCAAGAAACCAAGTTTAATAGCCCATGCTTAAATGTACAAAACCCCAGAAGTGTATTGCCTACTTTCCTAAATCACTCAAATGAAACTTTGCTACCGTTACACAATTTTGCAGGCGACATGGCTGCAGAAGTCATTATAGAAGCCGAGAAAATAGCACATATTAGAAGTTGTATGCCTTTCAGGCAGAAGAGGAACAGTTGTTATGCTGGTGGGGACCGAGCTATATCAGAGGAGAAGCTGGATACAGAGGCTGTAGCACGCTCAAAAGAAGTGGATCCATTTATTTCATTACCACCAAGTTCTTGTACTTCAGGCCTGACGTACAAGTATCCCAGCTGTGAAAGTGTGACAGATGAATACGCAGGTCACATTATCCAAATACTAAAACAGGAAGGTGATAATAATGAGTTAATAATGGATCAGTATGCTAATAGGCTTGCTTATCGATCGCTTAAATCAGGGCTACAGGAAGCAGCTAAGTCAGCCACAATGAAGTGCAACTCAAAAATGTCCCCTGTGCAAAACTCACAAACACACACTAACAATGAACTGTTAATGTTCTTAAATAAAGAACACCACCAAGAAACAAAGAAAAAAAGACAAAGTAAAAGAAGTGGAAGTTACCTTTATAAAAATCAGACTTGTGACTGGACCTGGGATACATATAGGAAAGAGTGTTCTGAACTGTACAATTTTTCCACCTCTCTTGCTCACAGCATAACAAAAGATATTAAAACAGAGCTGACAGTAGCTGCAGCTGGCTTGCCAAAGTCCCTAACAGATGCTTGTCTTTATGAAAAAGCTGGATGTGAAGAAGATACGGAGACTCACGTTGAGCCAGAATTTCATCGGTCTCTTCAACCTTCCTCCCCAAATCATACGTTTTATCACAGTACAGGCAGCTTAAGTGGGCACGGGTATGAAGAGCACGTTGTTCAAGCAATAGAGCAGTATGCTAAAAAAGTAGTGGATCACACTTTAGAATTTAGTTTAGGATCTACACTTTCGCAAGTTTCTGAGACCACAAAAGCAGCAGAAAGGATCACTTACGCAGAAAAGTTGTCACCACTCACCAGTCAGACCTGCAGATACTGTGACCGTAGAGAACTCCATGATTGTACTGGTACTCCACAGGTTTTCAGACAGGATTCACTTGCTGGTAGTAAGCCAGTTTCCCATTCAAAATTTAGCAACATCTACCAGAAATCTAGAATTTTTCATCTTGATGTCCCTCAAATTCATGTTGATCTTGATAAGAAGACAGTGCTTGCAGAGAAGATAGTTGCTGAAGCTATTGAAAAAGCAGAGAGAGAGCTGAGCAATACCAGTTTGGCAGCTGATAGTGGAATTGGACAGGATGGCCTTAGCTTTGCCGAAAGCCTTAGTACAGAAATAGTGACCTCAGCAATGATGAATGTTGGACATGCTGCTAGCAGGTACGTTTCAAGTTTTTTTTTAGTGTATTGCTAAAATGAAAAGGTAAACTGATGTATTAAGTCCTGTTCAAAAGGTAGTTATTTTTTTTTTCTTTGCTTATTTTTTTTATTAAAAAGTTTATTTTTACATCATTTTGCACATTTTTTTTCATCTCAATTGTAATCCCCACGGGAAAAAGGTAGTTATTTTTAATCCTAAATAAGGTACAGTTATTATCCAAAATAAATCCCTATTTTAGATAATAGGGAAATTTCCCTGTTACATACAATTATAAAAAAATTCCCTGTTTGTTTATTGTTTGACATCCTGTTACTTTCATATACATTGTTTCATATCCCACAACAGCCCTTTGAGGGAAAGTATTAACCATTTACCAAGCTGGAAGATGAGGCTTAGAGAAGATAATCACCTTGCCCCAGTTCAGAAAGCTATAACGTAGGTCAAGTTGAATTGAAGAAACCACTGGAGAAATTCATACAGCAAATATAGAGCATTACCATGTTAATATGCTACTCTGAGATTAAATTTTTATGCAGTGTTTCTATCTGGTCACAAAGGTAAGTTTTCTCATAAGGAACATGTAACCAAACTGTGATAGGAAGAAAACAAAAATTCTCCAGATACTTCCACTACTGCCACCACATGAGGGAACAGTTCTTTCTGATAGCCCTGTAGTACCCTGTTCTTCAGTATCTGTTTTGTGTTTGGTGGTTTTAAAATCTTACTTAAAATTTTCATTTTAACTTTCTCCCTGGGAGAACATCAGGACCAACTTGTGTTACTAGTTTGCATGGTTATATTTGTCGATTATAACCACCAAATAGAAAGATAATGGCTTTGAGTTGAGGTGAAATGATTGAGGTATCAGTTGAGTCACATGATACCTCAGATTTTCTAGTAGATTTTATCAAAGCAATGATGAGAGGTGCCTCTTTACTTAGCCTTTGTAAAATAAGGAGACACAGTTTGGCCAGGACCTTTGAATCTAATTATTCTGCAGCATCCTCTTGTAATGAGAGGTGCTGTATTGTCGCTGGTGAATGAAGGGAGGTTCTCAATTTGCTATAATCAGCAGCTTCATTTTTCCAGAACAGGGAATTGGTAAACTCTACAACCCAGAGGCCATATCTGACCAACTGCTTGTTTTAGTATGGTTCTGTGAGCAAGGAATGTTTTTGTTTTTTTTTTTTTTAATTTATTAAGTGACTGAAAGAAAAAGCAAATGAGTATTATTTTGTGGTGTGTGAAAATATATGTTCCAGTGTTCATAAGTAAAGTGTTACTGGAGCACAGCTCTACCCACTCATGTACATATTGTAAATGGCTGTTTTCATGCAGAGACCTTAGTTGGTGCCTAAATGTTTAATTGTTTGGCCCTTCACAGAAAAAAATTGAGAACCTTTGCCAAAGACCCATGACTATATAGTAGTTCCTAATATGATGGTAGACATGTAATGAATAGTTAAGAAGTACACATATGAATAAGTTGTAGTAGTAAAAAAAAAAAAGTGGCCTCAGACTCTTTGAACTGTTCTTTCACCTCCTGAGGAGAAAAGAGCCTCTCATCATCTCCCTTACAGGGCCTAGTGAGACGTTTGCTCTGAGTTTCCTCAGTATTTTCACTTTTCCTTCTCAGTTTTGGGTGAGTAGCTAGAGCCCCTGAAGTTCTTTCTGTAAGCCAGTGCTGTCCAATTTCAAGTGTTTGTCCAGAGCGACAGAATATTACTTGGTATTTCTTTTCGTATTTTTATTTAATAATTGTGCTAGGATTCTTTAAGTGCTGACTATTAAAAAGTTATATATAATATATATAATATTTTTTTTCCGTGTTCTATTTCTAAAGTTAAAATGGCTTGCCTCTCATCCTCTAAGGAGGTATTCACTCAAATAGGTTATTTTTTTAAAGGTATTTACTTGCTAGCGTTCCCTTTTCTTGTGTTTGATTTATTAAAATAACCATAAATATTTCACAAATCTGTGATACACAGAAGAGAGGTACCTCTTTGCCAAATGGGGAATTATATGATGGGGCATTTTGGGGAAAGCAAAACATCTTAATTATATTCTGAGCTGCTATTTCTAAACCAGAATAACCTAGCAGTGATTAAAAACTTCTCTGAAACCCATTTAATAGTCATTTATAGCCCAAAAGCATTAGATTGTGACACATTACACGTTAAAAAACAACAACAATGTATTATAGTTCAAAATTATATAGTGTGCCCATCTCTGGAACAGCCAGTATAATTCTGGCTGCTATACCTTAAATACAAATTGAAAATAGTGGGGAGGGTTCCTATTCTAGGCAGTGGGATTATAGAAGTGAAGGCAGCAACAGTCTGTTCTATTGGTGCTTGTGTTACAGTAGTGTAGTCTGGCATGTGGTGATAAGTATTTTGGAGGAAAACTATAGCAAGGAAGGGGGCTGGAGAGTGGTGATGGTGATGTGAACTGTGGTGGGGGGAGGGTGTGCGGTTTTGAGTAGAAAGGAACCCTGACAGTAACAGCTGAGCAAAAGCCATAGGTACAGGAAGAACAGTCAGCTGGCAGTGGGAGGGTGAACCTGTCTTTATCAGGAAATCAGCAAAGAAGCTTGTGTGTGTGAGAAATGGCCAGGGACAGTAGTAGGAGATGTGGTGGGGGGGACCAAATGATATATTATGAACGCTTGGACTCTTATTCTTATTGGTGAGAGGCCACTTCACCACTGAGGAACTTGTGTTTCATAGTGGTATTTAGATAAATGACACACTTGGGATGGATACGTAACAGGCTCAAGATAGGTTTGGGGTGCTGGGGTTATCTCCATTTACTTTAAGATTAGATGCTTCTCTGCAAAGTCTCCTTTTTAGGTGACACAAACACTAGATGGGCCACTGCCTAACTGTGTATCTCTTTTTTCATTCTTTGTCATCTTTATTCTCAGGTAGCCATATCTCAGAGTCTGATGCTCTCCAGTTGAATTTTTTTCCTTTTTTTTTCCTTTTTAGCCCAAAAGGAATAGAAGACACCCAGTCACCTCAGTCATTTGGAAGTCAGCAGATGAATCTTAGTATTGGTGATGACAGCACTGGAAGCTGGTCTAATTTAAGTTTTGAAGATGAACACCAGGATGAAAGCAGCAGTTTTCATCATCTGAGCGAAAGGTAACAAAGATACTGCATGCAACTGTATGGTGTAGGCCATCATGCCTCAGACGTGAGCTATAAATCTACATTAAGCATTATTCTTAAATCCCAAATTGAAAAGCTGCTGTTATTTTCAAAATGTATTTTTTATTCACAATATATTTCTAATGGTTTTTGACATTTATTACATATGGTAATTTAGCTGAACTGATTTTCTTTGGATGTGCCAAAAGTTGAAAAGTGTTGCCTACTTTGGAATACCTGGACTTTTCATGAATTTTTGAGGAAAATGGTTTTTTTTTTCACTTTAAAGAAGGTTTTTTGTTGTTGTTGTTGTTTTTTTAATTTAGAAAACAGAAAAAGGATCAGATAGCCCTGTAGTTTTCTTGATATTAAGGTGATATATTTCTTTTAAAGAGAGATTCTTAATTGTTCTGCAACACAGGAATAGTGACTTGGAACATATATACCCAAATGATGGAAACTATATAAAAAAAAAAGTTTTGTTTTGTTTTGTTTTTGCAGCAGAAGGCACGTATTTGATGTGTAACTTTTCTTGATTTTGTTCATAGTTTTTGAAATACTTTGTTAATCATGATACACTTCTTGTATTCTTAATTCTCTAAAGATATTCCTGGCTAACCTCCTGTACAGTTCCATAAATCTGTATCCATATTAACTGATAATTGGAAATAATGAATACCATCCATACCTGAATCTAAGAAGATGAAGGGTTCTCAGCATACATATTTGCAGTTTGGGCTTCAGCTGAACAGAGTTCTTGGAATTGACTTATGAGGAAGGGTGAGGGGAGGAGAAGGTAAGAAGACTGTTGGAAGAGGAGATAAAGAAACTAAGGAAAGGAAAAGACCTTACCTGTTAGAACACATCATTTAAGAGTATTTTGTTTGATGCTTGGATTGGCTAGTAAGTATTAATATTTTTATGAAGCATCTGTTTTGTTATAACCTCTTACGAATGCTGTGTAGAGCCCTCCCTGGTGGCGCAGTGGGTTAAAGCACAGCACTAAGAAGCTAAAGCCACTTCTGCGTGAGTTCCATCCCCTACCCCCGGCCCCAGAGGTGACCTACATGGTGCAGCAGATCTCTCCTGACCCTCACTGCACCCCTCAGCAGTGTACTTCATCAGTCAGCCTGTTCTGCTTCCCACTCTGTCTCTGGTGAATCCTCTCACTGCCCCTGCACCTCTGTCCTGTACCCCAGTTCTATATGCATAAATAAATGAATCTTTTAAAAAAAAATGCTATGCAAACCACCAATCTTTCTTAAAATCTACATGCAAAAGAGGCATTCTTTAAAACTGATAGCAGATAGTGTGGGTAGTATTGCCATCATAATTGGCCTTTTCCTGTAACTTCATCTAGAATAGAATGTTAACTAACAGTCTCTCATCCTTGGGAAACACAGGTTTCTATCATTTCAGTGGTGGTTGATGTTGTTTTGGAAATGGTGTTACAATGGGAGAACTAGGGCTAGAGTCTAGTGATAGGATGGTAGCCTGGTGAACAACTCTGTGCAGAGTGTTTTTACTTAAATGAAGAAATGGACACATCGGCCAGGCTCTGTCCTTGGTTCTGTTCTGCTTAGCGTGCTTTTATTAGTGATAGAGAGTGCTCACTAGCTGTAACAGGCTTAAAAGAAAGAAGAAAAGATAATTTCATTAACAGAACTAAGGTTCAAAAAGACCAAATCAGATTCTGTTTTAACGTTAGCATCACAAAATGATGTACTTTGAGTTCAAGATAAGGTAAGCCTGGCTTGATAACATTTTATCAGAAAAACACCTGTGGCTTTAATTCACCACATTCTGAATGAGAACTAGTGATGTTTTATGGAATTAAGATTCAGGCACTGAGTAAAAGTCAGTGGGGCTCATCCATGTTTGGTGGTGTGCTTGGGGGACATGCAGTTTCTAGAGCCTCACCTTCCAGAGGCTGATTTGTTAGATCATGAGAGGATTCCCAAATGTGCACGCTTGTCATGCTCCTCAGATGACATTGATAATGGGGGTTTGGAGACCACACTTAAGATACATGACTTTATATTTCGTTTTTTGATGCCATCTGATAACAGGAACAGTTATTTTCTGCACCGAGATCAAGGTAGGAGAGAAAAGACTTAAGTGTTTTGGGCAAACCTTGTTCTTTTCATTCTAGTAGGTTCAGTAGTGGGTCACAGTTAAAAAGAACAAATAGCACCACATTTTCACAAGTACTTAGGAGGAATGTTTAACCATTTGATCAGAAAAGAGAATTGTCCTGTGAATGGGAGTCTCAAGTTTCAGGGAGTTTATGGATTTCTTAGAAGTTATGTATTAGGTAAGAGATGAAGTTGAACCTAACACAATTTTTGAAGTAATTTTTATAAGGTATGTCAGAGTTGACAGTGTCTTCCTAGGGCCAAAAACCATGAGACAGAATTTTAATCCTTGAATACCACTGATTTGAAGTATGCCTCTTCTAGTCATAGAAATTGACCAGAGAAAAGAAAGTGATAAAAGCATGTTAAAGAATGAAGTAAGAACACTATTACACAAAGAAATTAAGTGTTTGTTTTATGTTGGGTTAACATAGTCTCATCAGACCTCTCACTTTGTTTAAGGTGTCTGATATACTTCTGCCGTTCTGATCTTGTTATTAAGAGTGCTTTCTTTCATTTCCAAGTGTTTGGTTAGATGGAAAATTACATGATCACCTTAGTAGAAGTAGAGTTTCATAAATAACTGACTTCAAATCTGTCCCACATTTGAGGGACACAAAGGAAGGTGAAGTGAGATGAAACAGAGGGGGTTTGAATTTTAGTCTTTATATTTCTAGCTGTTATTTCTTTTCATGTTCACCTAATACTTAGGTAATGGATTCTTATTGTTAATTAAATGGAGGAATCATTCTTGTGACTTAGGATATGGGTAAGAATTTTAATTTTGTCATTTTCCCTCCTTTGTTTAATAATTACTAGTACAAGTAAATGTAATGCTTCAGATCTGTTTTTGTCCTTGTGGCTCACAGTATTTGACCATTCTGTAGTTCATATATTCTCATTTTGGTTTGACAGTAGATGAAATGGGCAAAATTGGTTGTTCTGATGGTTTTATAATAGGGCTATGTTTTTTAACATATTGAAAACCTGCTCATTTGTAACTTACTAATAAATTACAGTTTGTGACAGCTTGTGAGTGTTCAAGAACTTAAATATGTAAATTATTTTAAATTGTCTAGAAGTTACTTATAACTTTTAAATTGTTTTTTTTGATAACCGTGTCAATACTTACTGATGCATGTAAAATAATTTTATGTTAATTCATTTTTTTAGAACCAAAATTTTGTTTCTGTAAAAATCAATTTTTATAGTTTTCTAGCCAAATGTTGGAAAATATAGCCACTACACTGCAAACTAACATGCTTACTAATTATTAGAATTTTTACAAATTGCATGTTTTAGATTTTAATCTGAAAATTGAATTTAGTTTTGTTTCTAACACAGTTGCTTTTTTTTTTTTTTTAATTGCTTTGCCTCCGTTTTAGAATATAGTTACTTTTTCCCTTTGGTTAGTGTAGTATCAGTAGTTATCTATATGGCATTAGTGACTGGCCAACCAGAAAAGCATAATGTTGACTAAACCTTGGCTATTCAGTTTTCTGTAGAAAATGTATGTTAATTGCCCCGTGCTAAATTATTCTTAATTTATGACACGATGGCCAAGAATATTTTAAAGCCAGAAAATCTCTTTGCAAGTTGTTGGAAAAGACCTATTTGAACTTTTAGGATCTCAGTGGGACTGTGCTTTCAACTCCATTGCCCATCCCTCCCCTACCCCCAGGCATCACTGTTTTCACTATCCTAAAGACTGAGAGCCTGAGACAATGTTAACTCCTGTTTTCTTTTTTTAAAAACTTTATCCAGACTGAAGGTTTTGGCTTTTTTCAAATTATTTTGCAAGATTTGCCAAAGACAGTTTCATTGTGAAAGTTTTTATTTCATGCATTCATTTGCTGTCACAAAAATCATTCTCTTGACTTAATCTGTAAAATAAATACAAATTTAGAATAGTTTTCATGATCAAGTTAAAAAAGAGACAAAACTCCCGAGTCTCCAGCACTGTCAAACACCTTTCATAGCAGCTGTGACGGTCTCTCCAGCCCTGGGGCTGCTCCACCGGGTGGTGGCAGCCTCACAACATCCACAGTTACCGCTAAGAGAAACTGTTCCAAGGAAAACCAAGATCTTTTTTATTACTCATTTTCTAGTTCAGCTCTGTTCTTTTCTTCCTCTGGCAGTAATGGTAACAGCAGTAGCTGGAGCAGTCTTGGTTTAGAAGGAGATTTGTATGAGGACAATTTATCCTTTCCAACATCAGACAGGTTGGTCCAGTCCAAAAACTTAAAAACTGATGAGTCTTTCACCACTAATGCATGATGTCATATTCATAAAAGAATGTGGATTACAGTGCCAATATGTTTCAACTTGCTTTTATACTATATTTTGACATGATTCTGCTTGATCAATTTACATCTAATGAAAACTTCAATTTTGCTAAGATATGACTGACATCTACTTGCAAAATGTGTTACTTTTATGCATGTGTTGATCCGCTTGCTGTTTTTCATTCTACCAATTATTATTTCATTTAAAAAGAGCTTGCTTCCTACAGGATTTCTGATTTTGGTTTTGTTTTGATTTTGGTTCTTTTTTGGCTTTTTGTTTTTTATGTATTGCTGTTCCATATATTAGGAAAAGTATTTTTACTATGTTCAAACTGTAATTGTCAACAGAAGCATTAATAAGTAATTATTCATAGCATTCTGTGATATTTGAATGCTATATTATAAAACCAAATTAGAATATTTTGACTTTAAACTATTTTAAATTAATTTTTATTATGAGATTTCTTGGATCTCTACATCATGGTCAGATAGGACATCTTGGTTATTGATAAGTAACTTTTAGGCATCGTTTGCAATTTTTAACTTTAACATGAAATGGTGTGAGAAGCAAAGCTTCCTTTTTTTATTGTCCTTTCTCCTCTTTTTAAGTGTCATGTCATATTGTAACATCATTCTTTATCACATTTTAAGAATCAATTTTATTCTGTTATTAATTAAACCTTTCTTTTTTTTTACTGCTCCTGCCATTTTATTGGAAAAGTGATGAGCCTGATGATAAAGATGAAGAGGATGAGGATGATGTAGAAGGTAAATCAACAATCTGTTTTTTATAGTGTTTGTTTTTTATAGTCTTTCATGTCTTGAAGGACTGCTTTGTCTACATTACAAAGCAGGGTATTCTATGTTGAGCAGCTTGTAATACTTGATGCCGAACTCATTGGTGTAAAGATGGATCTGCTTTAAAAGAATTATTCAATTAGTTGAGAATTTATGATAATCTCCCTTTATATTTCACCATGTAAAATCCTTTTAAGTTATAATTTCATGTAATTATGGAACATGCCAGAGAACTGTCCCATGGTTAAATCAGTTTCTTCTAGAATTAGTGTTCAATGTCAATCTTAAATAATTGGGTTGTCTGAAAAGTCATGACATATTTTTTTCTATGTTTTTCAAGCAGAAATGCATGATGGCTTTTCTGACAACCCAATAAATCAATAAATAAAAACAAAAGATACTTTCAACTGAATTCTTCTCTCCCTTAACTCCAGTCTTACCATCACATGTTCACATATTGGAAGAAAGTTTTAATTTCTTCCTTTAATGAATATAGTTTCAAATATGTAAATATCAGGTATTTGAATACCTGAATGAATTTAGAAACTTTGCATTGAAGCTGAGTTTTTGTTATATCTTGATGGTGGTTGAATTTTTTTCAAAACTCTGTTTAATTATGGACATACCAGTAATATCTTATAGTATAAACATATTTATACTATTTGAAATACTGGTTTTGAGCCAGTGGGTTTTTGGTTATTGGTTTTTAAGAAGTGGCCAAAATGAAAACATTGCCAAAATAGTCTCTTCAAGTGTACTTCATGACACCTGCATTTCCAGTCAGTTTTATCACTACTTGTTGGGCTCTTCTTGTTTAGGAAAGCCATGGGCCTATTTTTGGGTGGAAGTCCTCAGATTTAATGTTACCACTTTTTGCTTCTAACCCTTCTACTCTGTAAAATTTCATCTTACAGGGCTCCTGGAATTAAGTTTTCCCTTATCAGATATAGAGATAGGGCAATATTTCCAGCTATTCAGTGAGTTAATACTTGTCATATTTTTGTTGACTAGAAATTGTTGACTTTGTCTAAAAACATTCTGTCCTTTTCCCTATTACTTGTGAGCAAAGTTATTCTAAATGTTTTACATGGCATAAATGTTTGTAGTGAGTCTTTTCTCTAATGAACTAGTTATTACTTATTCTACTTTATTAAGAAATTACTATAAAGAAGATAAAAGTTAATGCAATTTAAAATTTCAAATACTTAACATTAAAAAAATTACTTTGACATTAATCAGTCTTTAGATTTCTTCTGTAAGTACATAGAAATCATAGATTAATTGTAAGCAGCTATGTCATTACTCAGCTTTTGAGATTATAGTTAACCTCTCATTATATTAGAAAACTGTAGCCAGCTTTTAAGTTTGTTAAATAGAACAAACGGATAAATTCTGATAAGTTAGGAGGGAGATTGATGTGGATTGATAGAAAGAAGATTACGGAAATCCTAAGGTAATCAAAAGCCCATTTTGTTGTTACTTGTAGTTGCAGGTTTTGCCTTTCTCTTTTTTGCTAGTACTTAGTGATCTAAGAGGTCACTTAGACTGGGCAACCAGGAGTCCTGTCCTCATAATCTTAAACAGACAAGCATGTGTGTCTAAACTTCTAATCCCATAACCCTTGCAGGATTTACAGAAAATGGTCTTCTGGGACCAATGTGTACCAGAACCATTTTTGTTTGAGAATCAGTGGGAAGAAAGGAGGCAAGCACAACACATTTGATTTAAGAAAAGAGGATGTGGATTAATTAAAATTAAAAAATTAAAAATTAAATTAAAACTTAGAGTCAACACAAATCCTAAAAATGATTAGTAGTAGTCTGGAATGTCCTGCAAACTGTTAAAATGAATCAGGAACATCCACCAGTAAATTTCTTTTGCTGGTATAAATTGCTGTGGTGTCTGTCAGCACATCCCACTGCTTACCCCTGTGTGGGAGGACTCACTTCTCAGCACTGCTTACTGCTCAGCCACCATTAAATAGGAGTGTTAAACACACGATGTTGAGCCACAGGTAACTAGTTTTGCAGTCAATGTGAATTCTTCCTTTGTGTTGAAATTGTAATTTTCATAAAAAAGGAAAATAAACTTGAGAGCAACATCCTAGTTATAACAGGGAGGCACCAGAAAATTCCGTGGCCCAGCTTTGGGGGTATATGTAGTTGATTTGACATTTTTTTCTCCCTATTTTGCCTAAAGAAGATTAAGAGCATGGAGCTCAACTTCCTGTGTTCATATCCAGATTGAGCTACTTCCCTGCTGCAAGATGCCAGCTCTCTGGCTGCCTCAGATTCCTTGCCTATGAAATGGAGATGATGGTTGCTAACACATAAGGTGATGTGAGGATGAGAGGAGTTTTATACATATAAAGAGCTTGGAGCATGTGAACCATGCAAGTGTCTGTGGTTCCTGTTGTTTTTCTCAGTTCAGAAAGCTCAGTTCAGAAAGCTTAGTTGAAAGCTTCCTTATGTACCCTGTGATCCATCAATAGGCATCATATTTTGACACAAATTGATGGCATAGGTTCTGCATTTGTTTTCTTAGTAGGTTAGCAAACTTAATCCTTTGTTTTAGCATTACTTTGTCCTTTCAAAGAAATGTTTTAGTTGCTGTTATGGTGTGGTTAAGAAAAGATGGCATCCCCCCTTCTTCCAGCATTCATTGAACTCTTCAGAAATCGAAAGTATCTGTATATCTTTAGAGACCAGAGTATTAAGAGTTCATGAATTTTACATGGTATTGTTTAAATTTAAATACAGGTTTGGAGCAAGATGGGAAGACTCTACTAATTACAAATATTGACATGGAGCCTTGCACAGTGGACCCCCAACTAAGGATCATTCTTCAATGGCTTATTGCCTCTGAGGCTGAAGTTACAGAGCTTTATTTTCATGACTCTGCAAAGAAAGACTTTATACTAGTAAGTACCTACCTTACAGGGTGGTTATCAGAATATGTTTGTGATGCTCTGTGCCATGTGGTTGAATGATTAGGCACGAATCCAATTATTAGGCCACTCTCTAGCAGTGCAATCTTGGGCAGGTTCACCAGTCAGTTTTTTTATCTGCACTGTGGAAATGAGAATAGAAACTATTTTATGGAAGTTTGTGAGGACTAAATATAATATTGTAGGGGGAAAGAAGTTGGATCTGGTGCTTGGCACATACTTTGTTCTCAAAATTAGGTGTCATGTTTCATGTCTTCATATGAAAATACTGTATTATTTTTTGTATTAATTGATTCACAATTGTACATAGAATTATTATGTCTGTTAATCCAGTTTCATTAGTATGAGAAGTTAGCATAATCAAAGTCAATGAAAGTTTAGACATCTAATAAAGGAAAATGGGTCACTTTGAGTGTACCATAGAGTCCTAGTAACAACACATTCAGATTTGATTGACTAATTTAGTTTCTTTTATAGAGCACTGACTATGTGCCAAGTACCTCATTAGTCAGAATTGTCAGTTTACAATCTTAGGTCTTTGTCCCAAAATTTTCTTATTAGAACTATGGCTTAATCTTATTACAGGGTGAAAAACAATGACTAACCAACAAAAAGGAACAGTCTAGTTACTCTTGATATCTGGTTCAGAATTTATGAAGATATTGTTGAGAGAAGTATGTAAAAAAAGGCATGTGTAAATGTAATTTTTAGTTTACTGTTTGTTTTTGTTTAGACCTTTTAGATTTTCCCAGTTTAGGTTTCTGTTTGGGGACAGAAGGAAAAATAAGATAGGAAGAGATGTTCAGGAAAAAAGATTGTCAAGGGGAAGGTAGGGATAAGTAGAGGCAGAGAATGAGAACTGACCTCAGGGAAGCACATATTGGTCACAGTCAGCTAAACTGAGGGTGAAGGATGGCATTAGGCAGAGCCAAGTCTGATAGCACTTGTTAAGGGAACCTGTCCTCTGTGACATAGGCGAACATGTGGCTGTTCTGCGTGGACAATAAAGTGTGGTATGTTCATGCAATGGACTCTTATCTGTCAAAAAGGGCATGAAGTAGATTCACACTATACATGAACTTTGTAATGATTGTGTTAAATGAAAGAAACTCATGACCAATACCATATATTTCATGTTTCCAGAAATGATCGGAGGCGGAGGAAGCAAATCTATAAAGTCTGAAAGTAGATTCGTAATTGCCTAGAGTTTAGGGCTTTGAGGTGAGAGAATGCCTGTGGTTACTAACGGGTAGGGTTTACCGTTAGTAATGTTCTGGTTTTGATTGTGTTAGTTGGATTCATTCAATATATATACTAAAAAGCATTGACGGGGCCACTTTAAATGGGTGAATTGTATGGTATATGAGTTATCTCTCCATAAAGCCTTTTAAAATAATTACATGTAATTATTTTATAAAAAATCAGAGAAGTTTTAATTGAGCTTAATAGAAAAACATGAATTATATTCTAATTGGTGATTATACAGTAATTACTTAAGCCTGTAGTTACTTTTTGTTGAAGCATTAGTATTTCTTAAGAAAGCCAAGTTTCCACTGAGGCTAGAGTATATGTTCCAGAAAAAAACACACTATATGTTGCTGAAGGAAAAACCACATCCCTTTATTAGGCTTGACATTGGCTTTATTGTTTTATTGATCCTAATTGAAGGTATGGCAGATGTAGTGAGTTAAGAATTTCCTGTAGAAACTTAACCTCTGTACTCCCACACAGGCAGGTCTCTGGGTGAAGTTTGTGGGCTTCTATCTTCAGCAATCCCCAAAGAGTCATTCTGTGAGGAGATATATTTACATAGGGCAGGAAAGAAAACTGGTTGTGGTTTAGGGAAGAAGACCTTATTATAATTGGTAAACTTTAATTGCAAACAGTAGGACTTAGTTTATTTGGTATGAAAACTGTACTGTTTAAAAACTGTTAAATGTTGAACTTGTATGTTTTTCTTACTAGCTTTCAAAACAATTACAAGAAAAAGGATGGAAAGTGGGAGACCTCCTCCAGGCTGTGCTGAAGTACTACGAAGTGATGGAAAAAACTTCCAGTGAGGAGAGGTGCAAGTCACTGTTTGATTGGCTCTTGGAAAATGCATAGAACCAACTCAACCCAGTATCTTATTATTTGTTTGGGGGGTGGGGGGAAGGGAAGAAAAAGATGCCTAGGGCATACTTTGAGTAGTGTGTATTAACATTTAAAATAAAGGGGGAGGAAAGTAAATACAGCTTTTGAAGTGCATTGTGTCATCACACAGTGTATATAGTGCACACTTTTGTAATCTGTCAAAATAATTATCTTCATTTATCCTTCTGTACACTTGTGTCCTGTGTTAAGATCCTGAGAACATGTGTTTGAAGGATGGCCTAACCATGAGCTTTTCTGGGACATTAACTGACTGCGTTCTTTTCTGCATTTGAATAGTGCTGATGGGAACGGCTGACATGACTGAGGATAGGTTGCAGGGATAGTTATAGTTTTGCTTCTTTGCAAACAAATGATATCCTGTCACTAACTAATTGACAAAAAAACAGCATTGAAGTTAACTTTTTTCTGATAGTATTTTTGGTCTTATTTTTAAGGTCAGTTTTTTTAATTTTTAAATAGCTCAGCTGTTCGTAGCTTTTGACTTCCCAGACCATTTAATTTCTTAGAAGCAGGTTTCTATAAATACCACAAATGATACTTTACGCAGTCTTTCCTAAAAAGACATTATTTGCCAATGTTGCCAATCTTTCTGGCATGAAAATGTATGTATGTGTAAAGAAGTTCGTTAACCTTATTAGTGATTTGTGTCCTCTTTACTGTTTTCTTGCTTAGAAACCCACTGTTAACATTTAAAAAGGTGCTTTAAAATAAAATGTCTATAAAGATTGTGCATTAAGAAATTTTATTTTTAACTATCTCGGGCCCTCAGCTTAACCTCTAAGTGAAAATAAGGGTATAGAACATACTGAAATAAAAAAAGTAATGTGAGTATGGGAATATATGTAGAAACCCAATGATGATTTTAATTGTTGGATTTTTTTTTTTTTTTAAGTGGAAAGCCTATCCACTTTAGCTAGGATAAGCTTTTTTCTAGACAAAGAAAAGGGATTTCCCCACCCCTGATGAAATGTATCTCACTATTTTGTAAAAAGTCCTCTGACATGATCTTCCAGTACTCTACATTTCCTACTACTTGATCTTCAGAAACAGCAAGTTAACTTGAATAGAGGACTGAGCTTGTGTCTTGATGCTGGATGTGAGAGTATGTGTGTGTGAAATTTGATTCTTCTGTTAGTGGTTGACTGTATTCTAGGTTAAGTCACTTTTTGTTAGAGCCTTTGGTTTTGCACCATTACATTTTCTTTTCTCATGAGCATTGACTACTCTGGAAGCTGTATAAAATATAGAAGCTGTCAGCTAAAGGACAAGGAATAAGGGCATTTCCATTATTTTGAGTTCATAATTATGGCAGACAAATATATTTTACTATGAAGGATTCAAACTTAGATTTTAAGAAAAACGTCAAAAGCTATTTAAATATTTTGATGTTACATTTGTTTTTTTCCTCAAATTTAAGATAATAAAGTAGAGCTAGCCTTAACAATTTATTTTCCTCAGTTTCCTCAAGTATTGTTTAAGGTAGAGAAATGTTAGGACCAGAATTGTTTTCTTTTTATTTTAACTTGTAGAACTTGAGCTGCAGCAGCACTGGACAGGATTGTTGATTATAGCATGGATAAGTGGGTTAATAAATTTAGCTTCAGTTTTTGCAAATGTTTAATTGTCAAATTGTGTTTAGTAACTTGGATGTATGTACATGTTTGATGAACAGCAAAACTGAGTTCTGTTTTTTTTTTTTTTTAAAGTGACTATATTAGTCTCGTAAAACTTCTGTGTTTGAAAATACTTGTTTATTTCTCTTATGGTAATAATCACTTGAGTGAAGATTTTCCTTACATCTTTGTTTCCTTTGCTTTTTTCTGGAGACTGTACTGAGTTTAGATTTCTATTACTTACCCATTACATAATGACAGTCAATAGGTATTAGCATGCATAGAAATAATTACAGTGAAATTCCACACTTGTATCAGTTCACTGAAAGGCACAAAGAAAAATAGCAACTATTGGCACATATGAGAAGTATGAGTTAAATTTCCTTTTATAAAAAAAGAACTGTTTTTAGAGCAAGCAGTATCTTTTAATCAAGTACAGTCTAAACTTACTTTCTTTAAAGGCACTTTGTGATTTTTCCAAAGATGTTATAGATCTGTTTGATCTCTCAGTCTTCAGAAGAGCTTTGTTGTTGAGGACAGCTCTCACTGTCTTTATTACAAATCTATTTGACACTTAGAACATTTAATATTGCCATTGTACATTTGGTCCTTAGTAATATCATGTCTTACTCAGAATTGTTAAAGTGTGTATTGTGCTGAATTCTCTCTTTATCAGCTTCAGAACCATCAAACTATCTGTGGAAAGAAAGTAAATGAGACCTCTGGAAGATGGGGGGGAGGATGTGTAGAACAATATTTCAGATTGAAATATAGCAATTACTTCATACTCTTCTTTTCCCAAGCCAAATTTAAAGAGCATTTTATATTTTAGAATCATTAATGTTGATCTTGAGACTATTTTCTGATTTATATAAAAAAGAATAATTCATTTATAAATCTAGAAGAAAATGACAGTATCTTTTGGATGGTTTGATATAGTTTAATGGAATAATAAAACCTTTGAGTGTATTCACTCAGTGTATATGTGTGATAACATCTTTATACTTTGAGGAATGTTCTAACTACCCATTCTGATATAATTCAATTTATAGTACTTTTACTTTGCTTAAAAAAGTGTTTTAAGCTGGTAGGAGAATTTACTTATTGAATGTACTGGTGATAAAATGAAAGATCATTTACCCTTGAGATTTTGACCCTGTGTACATCTCCATATGTGAAGTTTAACCTTGACTCATCATTACAGTCCAGATTCAAATGTCAGCTTAGTTAATTATGTAACTGGTATTCTTCCACAAATAATATTACTGATTTCCTGTAAATATATTGCTTAAAGATTTATGTTTTTCACAGAAAACAATCTATATAATTTTTTTTTAAGGTATCCATCTTCAGGGGGTTGGGAAAGTATTTTCCATTTAAAACCCTGTTCACCTGTCACCAGCACAAGAGAATTAGAGCTTCAGTAAGGATTATAAAATTGCACTAAAATGAAATGCTTTTTCCCTCATTTTCAGCAAAAGACTGGCATACATTTACTCATTTACTGTGCTGCTCTGAAGATGCAGATACAGTGTTAGTCACTCATGTCACTTTATTTATTTATTGTTTTTTTACCATTCATGTACATTCCTTTCATATGAGTAGAATTGTAATTCTAGAAGTTTGTTTTGTTGTAATGTTTGAATACTATTTAATATCACATTTTAATATTGCTGGATTTGCTACCTTTGGTTACTTGTGCAGTGTTAAAAGTAATTCATATTCTTGTTAATATTCCAGATATATAGCAAAAGCAGCTTTGAATAATTGTTAACTGTTTATTTGACTGTGCTGATCTGTCACATAAGATCTTGTAGAATAATTTTTTTTTATTTTTGGTTTTCAGTATTCTAATTTGTTTACTTACCAAAACATGAACTTCAGGATGCACTAAAATTTTGTTTTAGCAGTGGCTCAAAATAAACATTTCAGAAATTGCTTTTGTAATAATTTGCTATTAATTGCTCTTTTATCTTTTACCAATTGTTTAATTCTGTGATCTTTCCTCTCCCAACAAAGAATTCTCCAATAAACTTAAGATATGCCTGGCCTTGTTTTTCAGTCTGATAATCTTATACTGAACTAAAGCGTATATTAACCCATAACGACGTACTGAACTAAAAACAAAGGTGTGTAGGTGGTGCTGCTTTGGTAGAAGACCCCGTTGAGGGGTCTCAGTGCTCCTGCCATGGTTTTAGAGAACACAGAAAGTCAGGAATATTTTTTCCTCAGGTCTGGCGTCTCCTTGGAGATGTCTCTGGATGCTGGCATAAGTAACTTCAAAAGCTGTTTGTCCAGTATGTTAGGGCTTCAGTGCATCGTAGAATGTTATGTTTGCGTTGAATATCTGTTGGCTAGGAAATTTGGTTTGAGCAGTTCTTCCGCTGGACATGGTGCTCACAGCTCTGCCACACCATGTAGTATCAGGTACTTACAAGGTGACGTACTGCTGCTTGTATAATACTAGTGGAATTTGACTTTGTCTTAAGTATGTTAAGCCCAGAAATTGGAGAATGGTTTTTTAGCTTTTTATGGATGTTTCAAAATGCCAGCAAGTAGTGATAGCAAACAATGTTTTGAGTGTGAATGAATTCAAGACAGCAGTTTAAAAAAGCTAAGGAAAAGTCATCAAAATTCCTTAGATGGGAATGCTAAAGAATTACAGGGCTTTCAAAAGAAATAGGGAATTGTGACACTGGAGATTGGGTTTTTTATTTTTAAATATTTATTTATGTATTCAAGAACGGGGCATATGCCAGAGGTACGTGTGGTGAGAAGATGCACCAGAGTTAGATTGCGGAGCAGAATAGATGGATCTATATTTTTAAAAAGCTCTGTAAAATTTTTACTCTTGAATTTTTACTCAGAATAGCTGAGGGGAGCAGAAGGCAAGACAGGAGAGATCCGCTATGCCACGTGGGTCAGCTCCCTGGCCTGGGATCGGACTCGTTCTGCAGTGGCTGGCCATCGCTTCATAGTGCTGGCAATAGCTTGATAGCACTGAGACTTTAACCCCTGTGCCACTAGGGAGGTCATGTTGGTTTAAAACACCATGTTTTAGGGGTACAGGGTCACACTTCTTCCCCACCACTGCCAGCAACGCTTCACTGCATTTCGTTGGGCACCCTTTACCCTTTGTGCCCAGCTTCTCTCCCTCTGGTAACCTCAGTTTTATATAGTAGGAATTTCAGGGTCTGTTTGGACTTGGTTTTGTCCGTTCCTTTGTTTTGTTTCTTTGTATTCCATATGTGGGTGAAATCATTCAGGGAACCAGTGACATTTCAACAATTTTGCATACTGGAATCATTTGTGATCTGCTATTTTAGATGTACGAAAGGAGGATGGAGAGTTTACTTGAAGAATTACCCCAAATGTTTTAAAATGCAAAAGATGGGAAGAAATCACATATCTGAGAATTAATATACCCTTGGTGCTAATGCCCAATAAGAGTAAGAGTAAAAATTTTACAGAGCTTTTTAAAAATATTTTTACAGCGGGAACAAAAATGATTGTGTGCAGGTTACTCCTTGGAAGTGAGTGTACTGTTTTTTCCTTGCACCCTTTGTAAACGTTTTTATAGTCACTCCCACTTTTGTTCTCTAGGGCAGAAACATCATAATTTGCATTGGACAGAGGTAAAAAGAAACATTTTCAAGGGAGGATGAAACCCCAAATTTCACTTTTTAGCTCCTCTCCCCCCTCCCCCATGCCCTACACATCTTTTTAAGATACCTAAGTGGATTTCTTAGATGGGATTAAGGGATAAAACCTGGACTCCTTGGTGAGGAATTCTGCCTACTGTTATATTTCAGCCCAATGTGAGAATTTTTAGAATTAATATCAATACTTAAAAAATGAGATTTCTCATTTCAGTATGCGTTGTATTTCATTTTCTCTTGACAAGTTGGAGATTGGAACTCTGATTAGAGCCCTGTTTGGTGATGGGAACTGAAAAAGGCTTGCTCCTTTTGTATGGGCTTGTTTCTTTTGCCTGTCATGACCTGCTGCCCTTTCCCCATTTCTTTTATCCACTGGAACCCTCTAGGTGTTTGGGATCCAGTCTCTTACTTAAAGCATTAATGTGCTTAGAAAATCTGAATGATAGTGGAGCAACTGTTCCATTCTTTAGGGCTTATTAAAGGGGCGGCGAAGACAATGCTAGAAATTCTAGACTTGCTCACCTTATTGCTCCTGAACAGAAAACAAATTGTAATCATTAGAAGCATTGTTTTTTAAATAATAGTTTATTTTTACATCATTGTGTGCCTTTTTCCATCTCAGTTGTACTCCCCGTGGGCTTCCCATCACCAAATCACCCATGTGCCATCACATTCATAGTCCAGTGCATTTCCCTCTCTCCACTATTTTTGTTCCCATTCCCCACTCCACCCTCATAAAATGTCTCTGGTATATCGCTGTTCATCATTATTATTATTTTCTCACTTGGTCTGTTATCCTGCTATGAGTGAAACCATCCGGTATTTTTCCTTTTTTTTTTTCTGGCTCATTTCACTAACCATGATCTTTTCCAGCTCCATCCATGTTGCTGCAAAAGGCATGTGTTTATTTTTTTTTGGTTGCTGAGTAATATTCCATTGTGGATATGTACCACATCTTTTTAATCCAGTTTTGGGCATTTGGGCTGTTTCCATGTCTTTCCAATTGTAAATAAAGCAGCAATAAACATGGGGGTGCAGGTATCTTTTTGAATCAGTGTTTTTTGTGTCTTTTGGGTAGATACGTAAGAGTAGGATTGCTGGGTCATATGGAAGCTACATGTTTAGCAGTTTGAAAAACCTCCAGTTTTCCATAGTAGTTGTATCAGCTTGCATTCCCACCAGCAGTGCAGGAGAGTTCCTTTTTCTCCACATCCTCACCAACAATTGTTGTTGCTAGTTGTTTGAAGATGTGCCATTCTCACTGGGGTGAGATGGTATCTCATTGTGGTTTTAATTTGCATTTCCCTTATGAACATTTTTTCATATGGTTGTTTGCCATCTGCATTTCCTCTTTGGAGAAGTGTCATTTTAGCTCTTCTGCCCATTTTTTTGGTGGGGTTATTGAGTTACATCAGTTCTTTGTATCTTTGTAATCAATCCTTTATTGCTGGTTTTGTGTGAGAAATTTTTTTCCCAGTCAGTGGGATGTCTGTTTGTCTTTTTATATTGTCTCTTTTGCTGTACAGAAGCTCTTTAACTTGATCTACTTATCCTTGCCTTCACTATCATTGCATTGGGTGCTGTATTTTGAAAGATGTCACTGAAGTGTATGTCGTGTAGTGTTTGGCCCATCTTTGCTTCCAGGTATTTTATGGTTTCCGTTCTTATGCCTAGGTCTTTAATCCACTTCGAGTTGATTTTTGTGTATGGTGAGGTAGTGATCTAGTTTCATTTTTCTGCATGTAGCTTCCCAGTTTTCCCAGCATCATTTGCTGTACAACAAACTTTCTTTGTTTCTTTGTATTTGCTCCTTTGTCAAAGATTAGCTGTCCATAAGCCTGTGGGTTTCTATGTGGGTTTTCTGTCTGAATCCACTGGTCTGTATGTCTGTTCTAAAAGCATTGTTTTTTAAGTATATAGAAAAGAAAGAAGAGCTCCAGCAGATTCTATCAGATTTTATCAGATTTACATTTCCTTTTTCATTAGAACTATTCTACTGGCATATTAGAAAACCAGAGATAATAATTTTAATGAGACATTTCATATGGAGAAAGGAATGAATAACTGAGGATTCCTGACTTGAGAATGTACTCCCCAACACCAGTAACACATTAATGTATACCTAGAGGTCATATATATAGTAGGTCATTCCACCTAAAGCTTTTTTATACTGCTTTGGATGAAAAGTGCATTGGCATATACAAGCCAGGGGCATCAGCCTTTCTTAGTTTTGTACAGGACTATCAAAGGCGAATATTCAAATTGAATTAAAATAAACTAGCCCCACTCTTTATCCTTGTGATTGGATCACAGTTAACATTTTTCCTCCAAAAGCTGGATGGTTCTATGTTTATACTATCCTTTTAACTATGGGTTTGACTATTTTCTTCCAAATAATTGATGACTTTTAAAAAAATTTATATATTTTTTTCATTATTCTTCATTTTCATAGTGTGTGCTTTCTCTACTCATGTATGGCCCTAAGGAGTCCCACTAGCAGTTCACCTGTGCACCATCATCATAGTCCCTTGAGTTCTTCCCACTCATTCTAAACCAGTTTCTTCTTCTCCCACCCCTGAAGAATGTCTGGTTTATAGTTGCCTGTTGATTTTTATTTTTACTTTGTTGTAATTACTATTCCCACCCCCCAATCCTTCATTTGAGACCCCTACATTGCTTCTATAAATGAAACCATCCAGTATTTTTTTTCTTTTTCTTTCTGGCTTATTTCACTAAGCGTGATCCATATTGTTGCAAATTTCATGAATTTATCTTTTTTGATTGCTGAGTAACATTCCATTGTGTCTACATACCACATCTTGATCCAGTCAACTGATGACTTTTTAATATAAACTTAATTATTTTCCTGTTACATAAATTCAGTGAACCGAGAAGGTGACTTAACAATCTTATAAAGGCTGAAAAAAAAATCAGAAAAAGCTGTCTGAGATCAACATCATCTCTTTTCTGTTTATAACGGGTCTGAATTGCTGTGGAGATTGCAGTGTTAATTAACTTTTCCAGGCTTCATGTCTTTGACTTTGAGTCAACTTTAAAAACATTGTGGCAAATGCTGAGATCACTTGAGTTGCCTAAGCTTGGGCAAGACAATTGCTTTCGTCACTGCCCTTGAACCCTCTGAAGCCGTATCTTCCAGAAGGGTGGGAGAATGCCACCCTGAGAAATGCCAGTAAAAGTTAAGTGACATATCCCATTAGGTCTCGGCAGTCACAGATGACTTGAGTGCTTTAAGAAGGTGGGAGGCAATACTAGTTCTGCCCACACTATACTAGTATATCCTATACTAGACAGGGTAGTGAGAGAGAAGAAACCTGCCAGGCTTGTCGTGGGCCATAGAGGCTGCAGGGATAAAGTACGCCAATGTCGCACT